AATTTAGATAAAATTATTATTTTCGAAAACCAAATAACATTTACCCAATACTAGTCTACCTTTGATTACTTTTAGTTATAACCTGTAATTATTTAATAATTATAATTTGAATACACTTTGCTGCCAATCACCGGTTACTCATATCACCGGTTGTTTACATTTTGTCTGCCTTTGTCTGTGTTATAAAATGTTAACAAACGGTGATATGAATAACCGGAGATTGGCATCAAAGTGTAACTTTTGTGAGACAATCATTAATAGGGAATGCAATGCATAATGAAGTGCATTGAGTGACACAACCCCTGCCTTCACTGTAAGGACACGTAATTAATGGCATTATTGGAGCCAAACATTAGGCCATAGTTTGAGTGATTGTGTCATTAATTGTGAACTGAATTGCCATTCATTTGAAAGACTGAACGCTTGGATGTGTTGCGAGTGCTGACCAATTGGTGGTGACGTGTGTTATGTGGGACTCAGGTATGTGTGGTGTGGAGAGCGAAGACATGGACTTCTTGTACGGCGATTGCGACGGTCTGTGCGATGAGATGTCGGAACTCTATTCATATACCGAAGAGATTGAGTTCGTGGCCAACAAAAGCACTTTCGAGGAACTCATGGAAGACATGGGTTTTCCGTTGAAGTGGACGCACATGTCTTCGGATCAGAGGACGCGAGCCATTGAGCGGCTGTCGGAAGGGCTCGAAGTGTGCGATAGGAGTCGTCGGATGCGATGGGTTCGGGCCGTCCTATACCTAATTCAGGGCAACTTCGGTGAGTGTGTGGCTCTCGAGGATCAGCCCAAGTATTGTCGCCACAATGTGTTCCGGTTGTATGACTCGGGAATGTTCGCCACTTTCGTGCAATTGCTTTATATGGAGATCGAGTCCACTCTGGCCTCACTCAAGAAGCCGGCCGTCTGTTTGGGCGACTCTCTCGACATGAGAATCATTTTATCGGTTTTGTATACATTCGTTGCGGTCATGAATGTGTCCGAAGACACCGATACTGACCAACAAAAAGAGCTGCGAATACAGTTTGTCGAAGAGTTGTCGCAACCGAATGGCAACGAACTGTTGGCCATAACTCTGTTCCAAATGATCACAAAGTTCTGCAACTCGACGGCCGCCACCTCTGCCTCTGCCTCTCATTTCCCGATCAAAAAAGTGTTGCTATTGTTGTGGAAAACATTGCTCTTAACGCTGGGAGGGATCGACAAACTGAAGGCAACCAAGAATTTGTATCGAATGAGATGTGGTTTGAATCCAGTTCTGGACGACACTCTCGAAGTGACCCGTACTATGCGAGCGGCCTCTCCTCCCGCCAGCGCTACGGATCTGATCGAAGCTCAACAGCAGAGGAAAATGAATCGTCCGTTTAAGAGGCAAACTGTTATCAAACAGAGTTCAATGGTTGGCGACGAATCCGTCTCCTATCAGGACTTCGACGCCAACAATGAGTCCAACGACGAAGAGATGATATCTGACGAGAGGGTCAATTCGTATAACAATGGATTAAATAATGAAAAGAATGGCACGAATGGCGTTGCGATGGATGGGGAGAGGGATGAGAGGAATAGTTCAGAAAACGACGAGAAGATAGATCTGGAGGCGCGTCCCGGCTCTCCGCGGCCTAAAACGGCGCCCAATACTCGTTATACGGACTTTAATGCCGACGAATTCAATGAGAGTCGACCGCCAAACGAGAGCGTCGTTTCTGGCAATGAAATGAACGAAATGATGACAGACTTGCCTCAACTCAATAAAGGTCTTCCATGGGTTCCCAAAGTGAGGCAAACAGATATCGACACGTTTTTAGATCACACGAGACTCAAGTTTGTGGGATATGTTCTGCCGAACGACAGGACAACGACCGCAGGACTGCCCGAACCCATACTCGAAGGCATAGCAATACTCGAGCGACACATTTATGTCTCGCTATCGGAGGCGCAGATGAAACGAGAGGAAGAGCTGAATAAATACCCGCTGACTGTCAATGAATTGGACGAATTGCCGCTCAATTCTTCGGCAGAGGTTTTATATCAGGCAATGCTTCCGAGTTTACCTCAATATATGATAGCATTGCTTAAGATTCTGTTGGCAGCGGCGCCCACTTCGAAGACAAAACCCGATTCGCCGAATATTATGTCCGACGTGTTGCCGGAGGAGATGCCGATGACTGTACTCCAGTCCATGAAGTTAGGCATTGATGTGAATCGACACAAAGAAATTATTATCAAATCGGTTTCGGCGATACTATTATTGCTGTTAAAACACTATAAACTCAATCACATCTATCAGTTTGAATACATTAGCCAACAGTTAATGTTTGCCAATTGTATTCCTCTGGTGCTGAAGTTCTTCAACCAAAACATTTCCGGCTATATATCGGCCAAAAACACCATTTCTGTCATCGACTTTCCCGCCTGTGTTATCGGCGAACAGCCGGAGCTCACGGCCGACACACTCGAGTTCGGCGAAACGCAGGCCTATTGTTGGAGAAATATGTTTAGTTGTATTAATTTGCTCCGTATTCTCAACAAACTAACCAAATGGAAACACTCGCGTATAATGATGTTAGTGGTGTTCAAGTCGGCCCCTATACTCAAACGGGCGCTCAAAGTACGCCACGCTATGCTTCAGTTGTATGTCTTAAAACTACTCAAAATGCAGGCCAAGTATTTGGGCCGTCAGTGGCGTAAGTCTAACATGAAGACCATGAGTGCTATCTATCAGAAAGTTAGACATCGGCTGTAAGTTATTTGCTATTTGTGTTGTATTTGGTATCAATTCATTGACAATTATTTTGCTGACCTCAGGAACGACGACTGGGCCTATGGTAACGACTTGGACGCCCGTCCCTGGGATTTCCAGGCCGAGGAGTTTACTCTTCAGGTACTCACTCTTTACCCTCACATTCATTCATTCATTATTAATGTAATGATTGTCCGTCTCCTATAGGCAAACATTAATCGGTTTCATAACCGGCGATATGAGAAACAGTGCACAACAGGTGTTTCTCAGCCGCAACTGCTCTCCAATTCATCGGTCGCTTCGAATCAAAACGCGTCGAATTCAATGTCTATGGACGCCATGTGTTTAGATATCACACAACCCGTTGACAACAATTTCCTATCAATTCTTAGTCGAGACATAGAATTGACGAAAGAATTCAAATATAATTACGAGACATGGCTTGAGAGGGAAGTGTTTCAATTCACTGTCGATTGGGATCAGCTCTTGTCCGCAACCAATACTGTCAGCATGTAATCAATACAAACCATCACTCATTTAGAATACATTATTTTATTCAATATTTATTTATAACCATTTTTATAATTTCTATACCGTAATTATAATTAATTGCTGTCTTATTTGTGTAATAATATTTAATTTAAAGGAGTGTACTCTATATGTGTCTGTAATTAATGCCATTTTGCAAACTTTGAGAATAAGATAAAATATCAATAAATAACACAAAGTTTAATCAATATAAACGATATAAATGTAACCATAAATTGGAGATTACAGGTAAATGGATGACGAGATGATATACTCTATGTAGAAGAGGCGCTATTGATGAGCACTTTAAGTCTATTGACAACGAATTTAATTGAAACACTTTTCTCAAATATTACATTTTTCTCAATATAATAGCAAATTATAATTTTCTTTGAGATGTTTGTAGTGTCGGAATTGCAGTCACATCTCAAATACAAACCATTGAATTGAAACGTTTTAAAACTTTCAAACCGGTCGATAAACTCGTAAATTTTCATCACAATATGATTCACATCAATATGACATCAGAGAAGGTATTTTATTTTGAGATAACTTTCTCGCGACAAAATCAAGATAACAATCTATAGATTTTATCGGAAATGATAGACAATTAAGTGTCAAATATGAGATATTTTGTTATTTTTAAGTTACAATTCTAACGACACAAAAACAATTCATAGCAATCTATATACAGAACTGGCAAATCAATGATAGTTATAAAAACTTATTTTAGTTTAATATATGTTTTAATTTGAATGTTACTTGAATTGTAATAATAAATTTGGTGAAATCAAACTAATCCTGATATGCCATGTAATACTATAGTATTACTATAGTATTACAAATATATTTGTAATGATGATTGAATACAGTATTAAAACATAATATGTCATCAAAAACTTGTCTCTTGTATCGTTTTAACAAATTCAATATAAACTCATTTTTAATCATTTTATTTAACAAAAAATTATTTTCACAATTGTAAAAATATGTGAATCGAAAATTAATGTCTAAAATATTTACAATAATATGTTTTCAATGAATAATTTGATTAATCGAAAAGATGTTCAATTATGTAGTGTTTGAAAAGAGAAACGAGAAATAACTCGTAACGTATTTACTGATGGGATTGTCAGAGAGACGGCCTTTGGCTTTGAATCCTCGCGGAGGCAATGATTTCTTGCATATGTTTCCGGTCGGAGGGAAGAAATTTCGGGGACATATCATTGTAGTGATGCCTCCAAACGCTTTGTCGATCAAATTCTTAAAGTTCTTCTGTCCTTCAGAACCGCACGAGTGGCCGATCATAGAGTCGGTGCAGTCCTCCCATGTGTTGTGACCGCAACATAACGTGTCGATCCTGTCATCGATTTCAGTCCTATTGATAGCAAACTCGAGTGAAGACAAGTAGTTGTTATTGCAATTGGATTTGTGTTGAGAAGTGGACAACACTTTATCGTGAATGCAAACAGAATTCTTCAAGAAATCTATTATGTTTTAGGACACAAAATATGTTAATTATTTATATTTTAATTCTTTGTCATGATTTATTTGTAATGAATTGTTAATTATTAATTAAATATATTTTGAATGTATGCTTAAATTCTAGAATTAAAAACTTTTATAAAATACTCGTAATTTTTAAGTAGGAGTACAAAAATAATAAAATTAATGTAATTTATTTCCATTTATATAAATTATATATTTCTAACAACTTTAATGTAGGTTTTGTTAAAATAATTGATAAATGAGTGCTTACTTTCACGAATAGGTCCGGAATCACAGAATTGTTTGATTTTCTGCTGGAAGTGTTCGCTCACAAAATCAAACACTTCTCTTTGTAGAGGAGTTCCACATCTTTTGATAAAAGCTTTGATACACTTATTCACTTCATTCACAGTTCTGTTGGCATTTAGTATAGTATTATTAAAACAATCAATTTTACAAACACTGTATAAGTTGTGTAAGTCATTAAAAATTAGAGAACATAATATATTGTATTAAAGGCCACACATTTTTTACAACATAGTTCTACAACATATTTAAAGCAAAATTAAATTTTACTTTTAATAAACACTTTACAATAAGACAATAATAAATTTTAAAGTAAATAAAAATTTTGAACATTAATATTATGTAAGCATTAAAACAAACAATATAAGTTACTCAAACATAACTTACCCACAAATTTTATCAATTCCTTCGGGAGTAGTGATAATAGCTGTCGGATTCGGTCCTTTGGTCATAGCTTCGAGTTTGTCGAGACACGAATCGACTTCCTTAAGATGGCAGAGTTGGTCACTTCGGTTACGATTGGCACGACTTCTACTCCGACTTCTAGTTCGTTGGGCTTCACATTTGTAAACCAAAACCAATGCAAAGATACCTTTAAGAAAAATTTCGATTCCGTTCTCTTTCTGCAATACTTCCGACGTCTATCTGACGAGCGCTCGGATACAAAGTAAAGAAGAAATGTGTCCAATCGTCTAACCAGACGTGTGCGAGTCGGGCCGTGTTGTGCCAAACTATGTAATTACTGCCTCCCGGAAGAGTATATGGAGTTTTGTTCCGAAACACGTGTCCCACTCGAGAACAGGTGACGATCTCAATACTCCCGCCGCACATCCAGATCTGCATTTGACATATGTTTCACACATTTATTTTAAATAATGTTGTCAACCAAACTAATACCCGAAGACTGATCTCAATGTTTTCTGCGCCCCAAATGACCATTTTTGAGTCATATTTGCCAATATATTCAAAGAATTGCCGATCAATCGCATAAAGTCCACCCGAAAGTGCAGGCGTTCTGTTATATTAATGTAAATCTTTCTACGGTAATAATTTTAAATTAAAATTTATAACAGTAATACCTAAGTGGTAAAGTGCGATCATTATTTCTCCTAATGAGCTCACTATCAGGTGCGGTATACCAACGAAACCCTATTTTATTAAATTATTATTAAATTATTAAATTATTTTGTTAAGTATATTTATATCAAAAGAAATTTTAGAAAAAATTTTAAAATATTCATTTTGAGTTAAATTAGTACCAAATTTCCAATTAAATCCTCCATAAGTCATATCACTGGCCGTTACATAACGAAAGCTATGCTCATCGATGACATCAATTATGGGGCAAACGACACGAGTTCTGTGGCATTCATTGTAATCATTAATTATTTATTCAACAAAATAGTGGACGCTATGAAACAGACCGATCGCCAGCTATGCGGTCGAGCAAAGGCTCGAGCCATCCCTCATTGCACTCGCAGTGAGAATCCAAGAATATAAGCACTCGTCCGACGGCATGACTCGATCCCAATATTCGCGCTTGAATTAGACCAGATCTGCGGCCCAGGCGTATGATTTTGATGGGCACAGACAGCTCTCGTACATAATGTTTGAGATGTTGTTTTAAGTAAACTAAATTCAAGACCAAAAATTGAAAAATGAGTGTAATATAAAAATAAAATGCTTGCCTTTAGTGGAGAAATCGTCCACTAAAATAATTTCCCGCAAAAGATTAGACGAGGTTTTGATAACACTATGAAGAGTGCGAAGGAGTGTAGAGTAAGCCTCGTTGTGGAAAACGATGATAACACTGGCGTCTGGCAATTGATTTGGATATTGCTTTGATTGACAACTTTTAAAATCAAACAATAATTGCAATATAAATCTCAAATAATTCTTTGATATAAACTCTAATACCTATCGCTTCGAGAGTCCCTTAATGTCCGGTTTAAAGCAATCCTATCGCTCGCCAATACATTAAACTCATGAAATTTGAAGTATTTATTATAAGTCTCTGTATCTTCGGGTACAATACACTTTTGGCCCAACTCTCCCGGCCAGTGGCTTGGGTTTGGTTCACCTAATTCTGGAACGTGTTAAAAATGTTGTGTTTTAAAAGTGCTTTAATTTAGTTTAATTTGTTAACAACTTGATATGTTAAATTCAAAACTTTATTTTAATAATTTAATAATATTTTAATATAGTTATATGATTTACCCTTTGGTTGCCAATCAAACAACTGATCACTTCTATAGTTCCCTAATATAGGATTATTTTGATCACAATATATAAGTTTTGTTAATAATAATAATTTAAATAGTATTTTATAAATTCTAATTAAATCAAAATTTGTTGTCATTTCACTTCTCGGACACAAATGTTTTTATAGATGTTTGAAATAAGAAATAAAATAAACTTTATTTTAAACAAACATTTTGTAAACAATATTATAAATAAGTCGTAAAAAACATAAGTTTACAAATAATCTATAATTAATATTTTTACACCTTAAGTAACATAAACATATGGACTTCTAATGAAATCAAAGCCAGAGTTTAAACTATAATAAGTATTTATGTAAAAGTAAAATAAATTCATATTAAAATTAGATTTATGTTTAACAACAATGTGATTTATTTATTTTGAAATGTTGCCAAACATTTACCAAATTTTTTATGGGCAACTATTTATTTTATAAATAACATTTTGATATAAATAATTTATTAATTATTAATAAAATTTTAATAAGACTTTGGTTAGTAATCAATAGATAAATAAAAAATTATTATATTTTATTTAAAACTTAACAAATGATTTGTAAATATGTTTTTAAAAGAGTAAAGAATTTCTGTGATTAGGTTTTTATTCAAATGATTTCGAAATGTTGTGTTTGAGTGAATGTTTGGCACTTGTATTGAGTGATCGCGTCTACAATAAGCTGTAAAATGTATGCAAAATCACAGCCTTTTTTCATTTCGGACATCACTTGAGATCAGGCTTTAAGTCAATTGAATAAATCCATGGATCAATCTTCAGGTGGTATTATATTGTCGGACATGAATGACCAACAGATCAGATACAACACGTCATGGGATTCGCGACAACTCTGTCATCAATTGCTTCAAATGAATGTCATCTCAAGCGAAGAATCCAAGATTCTGACGGGTTTTTCATTGAATCACATCTCGAGTTATCACTTCTTTGGCTCATTCTTAGTCTGTTTTTTATAGAGCAACGCATCGATGGCTTGACTTTTCTTCTGATGACTGAAAATAATTTCAATGAATTGGGATTTCTTTTGGGACCAAAGATCAAGATTTTGAACTTCATTTCAAACATCAAACGACACATTGAAGTGGATTACGATTTGAATGAATCCAAACTCATGCCAAAGGAGACAATCCAGTCATCGATGACTAGCATTCAGACGAAGAATGAGAGGGGAAGCGGTGATGTGCCCGAAGCTAACGATTCGAAGCCCGAGTCTGAAGGACACAAACCAGTGAAGAGTCCGAAGACGAGCCGATCGCACAAATGCCGGGAATGCGATAAAACCTATTCAAAGGTGCAGTACGTGAGAGACCACGAGATGACAGTTCACTATAACTCGGGTCCCAATTACTCGTGTCGAGTGTGCGGACAGACGTTTGGGTGGAGAGTAACCATTTTGAACCACATCAAGAAATATCATCCGGAGCACCGCTGCACCACACAAATGGTCGTCAAACTCTTCTAAGCCTCACATTTCTAAACACTAATTCTTGTCATTTAATTTGAGTGCAATTTTTTCAAATTATTTTTACCCCAAAATTTATTATTTTATTTTTAATTCGCAAATTATTTATTCAAAAAATAGTATTAAAAAGTTTATATAATTCTGAGTTTATTTTAAAAATTATACTTTTGTAAAACGATTTCATCGAAACACCAAAAAATGTATTAAAAACACTTTGAAATTGAATAAAAAGTTTGATTGAATTCAAAAGTTTAGACAATATTATTTGGGTCCCAACAGAAGCGTGTGTTTGAATTCAATGCGTCGATTAAAGCCATGTCTTCCTTCGAGATCTCGAAGTCGTATAATTCAAAGTTTGGCTTAAGATTCTCCACACGAGAAGTCTTGGGAATAACGCCTAAAATGCAAATCATTTATAGTAATAATTATTGCAAACTAATCCAAAATGCATATTTGAATTGATATAAAAATCAAAACACATACAAACGTTGTGCTGAAGACCCCATTTGAGAAGTATCTGCGGAACGGATCTCTCGTACTTTTTGGCCACTTTTATAAGTGTCTCATTTTGAGACAATATTTGCCAACCCTTGACCGCACCCAACGAGGAATAGGCCTGAATTACAACACCTTTTCCCTCACAATATTCTAATAATTCCTTCTGATATAAAAGCGGATGAAATTCAACCTTCAATTCAGTGAAAATGCAATTTTAGTCAACTTATAAATGCACAGTAAATGTAGATATAATGACAAATAAAAACCTGGTTAACTGTAGGCAACACTTTGCAGTGATTTAGCAGTTCTTCCATGTGTTTAATCATATAATTTGAAACTCCAATTGACTTAATTAAACCCTCGGAATGTAAATCCTCTAAGTCCTGGTAACTGCCTTTCCTCAGCTCCGAGTTCTTGGGATCGCTTTGATCCAAACCTCGGACTCCTGGCCAATGAATGAGCACGAGATCGACATACGGTGTCCTCAACTTAGCGATCGATTCCAAGACAGCGGTTCTGCACTTTCCTCTTCCCTGATCCGAAGTGTCTAATCACACAATCAATCACTTAATCAAATCATTTCATTCACAAAAATTGTATTCAAATTAATACTCAATTTAGTGGTAATGAAGACATCGTCTCTTTTGAGACCAAATTCGTGTAAATTTTCGATCACTTCTCCGATATATTCTTCGTTCTGATAAGCATTAGCCGTATCTGACATTTGGATTCAAAATGAGTGCCAAACAGAGTATAGTTTATAAGAGTTTGTATTACCAATCAGTCTATAGCCGGTCCTCAAAGATTGTGCCACTATTTGTTTGCAGACATCTCTGTCTTTGATGAGATAAGTGCCCACTTTTGCACACAATTCATGTTAAGACAACAATTATGGTTAAAATTATTACAAATTCAATGCAACAATCAATACATACATCCAATGGCAGGGATTTTAAGTCCATTATTCAATGATAACATAATTGTCGGTCAAATCAAACTCAACGCAAAGAAATGTATGTTTGAAACAAGTGTTCAACTCTTTGATAGCTTTGAAAATGCAATCAAACACTGAATTAAAGCCAAAAGTAATTTAAATGAAATATAAAAGTATTGAAGAGTCGGAAGTGTTTGACGAGAGATGGCATTGAAGTGAGTGTTGGGTTGGACTGAATGGCAGTGAATGCAGTCAATACAGTCAATGGCAGCACTGGTTGTGTTGTTGTCTTCATTAGCCATACAATTGAGTCCATGTTTTGTCCATTCATTCACTTCTCGTTGCAATTGAAGACATCCGAAGAAGTGGTGAACGTGACAATCGATGGTCGGTTCCCAACAAGTGATGAACACTGACGACAACATCGAGAACAACATTTCGGCACTCAATCAGTGATTATATGCGAAACGAGTGTTTGCTTTGAATTGAATGTAATTTTGTGTTGAATTTATTGATTGAAATCAGGGCTGAAGTGACGACAAAGAAGTTATACAAAGAGTGCAAACGACTCAACGATTGCATACAATCAGTGAATCTGAATGATAGCAAANATTGCATACAATCAGTGAATCTGAATGATAGCAAAATGACTACCGATTTGTCCCCCAATTCATCCCTAAATGAAGACAACTCTGTCGTCAAAATGATGAGAGTTTCCCAACAAATGCCCGCCTATTATGAGGTAAAACCCGATTGTCAACTGATCCTAACTTACGGCTAGTGTTGCAGACATTTATCATTCACTAGTTATCATATAATGAGTTGTATTTAATATCATATTTGGGACCTATTGATGGTGACACTGGCTGTCACTCACCTCCTATTTTTTATACCAAAATGGCCATGTATTTAGTGTTGCCATTGGTTACCATTGCATTACCATATAATACACACATCTCTGACAAACAATCATGAATTTATGCCACCTTTTGATTGCCTGTTAGGCTGAGGCACGACTGGCCGCCCGACGCGAGGCCCGCACTAAAGCTCGAGAGATACGACTCAAAGAGTTGGAGAAACAACAAAACGAGATCAACGAAACCAGTGATCGACACTACGAACTCTTCGGCAATCCTATCACCAGTTCTGCCACCAAAACACCCGTCACTGCCAGAGATGTGAGTCAACTCTCGCTTTAATGAATGCATTTTACATTTTCTAATGGTTTTGCATATATTTGTAGAGTCGGTGTTCTTCGCACACCGGATCCCGAAGGAGTAGTGAAGACTCGCTGGATGTCCCACTTTCTGACCACCGAGACTATCGAGTATTGCTTTTATGAACTCTTGTGAATAGCGTTGATATTAATATAGTTTTGGTGTTTGAATGTTAGCATCAATTGCACGAATTGGACGACAAGTTTCGGAAAGCGATGGTAAACAGCGCTCAGTTGGACAATGAGAAGCAATCGCTCGCATATCAGGTCGAGCTCTATAAGGATGACATCGAGGAGTTTGAAGAGAACTTCACTCGCCTTCAGAAAGACTACAAAGACAAATCTCGGGTTTGCTCTCTCTCTCTCTCTCTCTCTCTCATTGTTTCTATATTTAATAAATTCATTGCTAGGCTTTCGATCAAATGAGTCGAGATTTCAAAAAACTGCAAAAAGATTACGATTTTAATAAACAATGTCTGCGACAAAGGGATTGTCTGATAGAGGTTTGAATGAAACCCATTTTGAATGAATACACGAACTGATAAGTTGTTCACTCTATAGGACGCGGGTTTAGTATTGATAGACTCGTATGACTCAAATATAATAGACTCTGATTGCAATCACATGTCAAATGGTGTGAACGGATTAAACGGTGATATAAGTGATAAAATAAGCGGAGAAAGTGGTTCCGAATCGGGTATCAGTGGAAGTGTTACCAAAACGCCTACCAATGCGTCGTTGATATCTCAAGAAGCGGCACAACTTTTGGCAAACGTCGAGGGCTTCTCATTAGAGGCTAAAATCAAATCATTATTAAAAGAGAAAAAGATTTTAATGAATGAAATCAATGCAATGAAGACAGATCTCGAAGACGAGAGACAGAGAGCGACTAAATTTGAAGAATTGACTTTAATTCAAGGCTCAATTCATTCACTAGTTATCATATAATGAGTTGTATTTAATAAATTTATTTCTAGGCTTTTGATCAAATGAGTCGAGATTTCAAAAAACTGCAAAAAGATTACGATTTTAATAAACAATGTCTGCGACAAAGGGATTGTCTGATAGAGGTTTGAATGGAACACATTTTGAATGAATACATGAACTGATAAGTTGTTTACTCTATAGGACGCGGGTTTAGTATTGATAGACTCGTATGACTCAAATATAATAGACTCTGATTGCAATCACATGTCAAATGGTGTGAACGGATTAAACGGTGATATAAGTGATAAAATAAGCGGCGAAAGTGGTTCCGAATCGGGTATCAGTGGAAGGGTTACCAAAACGCCTACCAATGCGTCGTTGATATCTCAAGAAGCGGCACAACTTTTGGCAAACGTCGAGGGCTTCTCATTAGAGGCCAAAATCAAATCATTATTAAAAGAGAAAAAGATTTTAATGAATGAAATCAATGCAATGAAGACAGATCTCGAAGACGAGAGACAGAGAGCGACTAAATTTGAAGAATTGACTTTAATTCAAGGCTCAAATCAAACGGTGAACTCAGACGCAAATATTGACATTCAAAGTAAGTTTTCTATACGTTTATTGATTGCTTTGAATTGCTTTTAATGGTATATATAATTGTGATGACCGCAGGAGAAGCCAATAAACTGGTCGGAGATTATAAATTTAAACTTAAGAAATGCGAACAAGAGATGAATGTTTTGAATGGAAACGTGAGTCGACTCGAGACCCAACTATTGAGGTATAGGACGGCCGCAGAAGAGGCCGAAAAGCTGGAGGACGAGCTCAAAGCGGATAAACGAAAAACACAACGAGAGGTACTATTGAAAGCACTTTTTGATGTTTGTTTGCAAATATGCTATAATTATATTTTGATTGACAGTTGAGGGAAGCGTTGGCCAGAATTGAAGAGTTAGAGACATCCAACGCTCACTTACAGAAGCGAATCGACAAATTAAAGTCAAACCGCAATATTGTTATAAACAACACAAACAGCAAATGATTATAAAACATACGATGTTTTTGTGAATTAATTGCATTAACAAAACGTGCATAGAATTAAATAGGACTTGAATTACAATCAATCACTGTTTTTATATGAAACGCCACCAAAACATACCATACCTGCGATTAACCGACAAAATAAGTGCCAATTAATGCATTCAAAACTAATAGAGAGCTTGGAATACATTATTAAACAGAAACATCACATGAACTCATCCGAAACATAGATTTTTCAAGTCTGCATTTTTTAGTTTATTTATAATAATATTTTATAATAACTTTGATTGTAAAGACCGATCACTCAATCGACTTAACTATTACTGAATTGAAGGGATTTTATTCATTATATTGATATTAATATAGCGTTTATTTATTGTTTTTAATTGTAATTTACTGTTTATCAGTTATTTGTAGCTCATATTGATTTCACATAAATTGTAATAAAATGTGTTTTTTTGCAAATGAAATTTTATTGTCTTCTTTTATTTAATGAATATTATTTTTTCGTTTATTTACTAATTGTTGTGCAATAAGTTGAAAATCTTGACTCATTTTTGTGAATTCTTCGCTTTCGGTAAATCTCTCGGAACCAAAAGTCTTTGTGGTGTTTATATTCGACTCAAATCCTTCCATCAATTCACTGAATTTGTTGTATTTTTTAGATAATTCTGCAAACAATGCAATCATGTCTGAAATGTTATGCATGGATACGCGGTTTTCAGTCGCTTTCATTTGTTGTGTTAATTGAAAAATATATAGCAATTGATTTCTATAGATTTTCTTTCCTTTCGTTCTAATGATTAAAATAAAGTCTAATATTTGTTGCTTTGAAGACGAATATTCAAAAATAAATTCAAATTTAACTTTTAGTGAATTTTCAATTGATTGATGTTTGGCGTCAAATAGAGATTGGTTTGGGAATGAGTTAATCATTTCATTGATGTCTTTGTATAATCTCATGAGAATTTTGTTACACAACTTGTCTCTCATGTCATTTTCCATTTCGTGTATCTCTTCGGCAATTCTAATGATATATTGACAGCATTTGAACACTTCTGGCATTGTTTCAAATGCATTTGGCTTTGAATCTCCAACTAATATATCATTTGAGTCGAGAATCTTACAAATGAGCGCCGCTTTCATATCAGTTAAAAGTTCCAATAAATCTCTCTTGAAATGTATTTTTTGCATTACATTCAATGTATTGCAACCAAACAGTAAAAGCATTACTTCTTTATTTTCTTCTTCTTCTTCGTGTGAATTACAATATTTTTTGATTGCATTACAGAATTTGAAACATAAATTACACAGACTTTCGAGAACTCCTTTGAATCTCTTATCACTCCAATTATGTCTCAATGATATGGAAAAATAAATCAACTCAGAGATAGCGTTGAAGAAAAATTTCGTACCGATTTTGCCCTTCAGATCGTCTTTAAGATGCTTTTGAGTAAAATTTTTGACTAAACTTTGAGCCAAATTATTGCAATCTTTTATCCTATTGTCGATCCAATAATTATATATATCTTCATCAATATCTATATCTCTGGCCACTAATTCCTTATTATCAAAGTTGTCGAGCTTTAGGAACTGAGAAAACTTAAGGTTTTGATTTAGATTTGTTGTCTTGATTTGGGCTAATTGTGGACCAAAAGTGTTATCCAATAAAATCTGCTTTAAATACAAATCGTTTGTAACGCCTTTAGTAACAATTGTGTGACTTTCTTCTGTATGTAAGCCTTCAGTCGCGTCCACATCTGTTGCATCCAAAGTAATGTTCTGTTGATTACTTTTATCAATATTTGTGGGCAAATATTCATTCAATTCTGCAATGAATTGAATATAATTAAGAATATTGTCGCATATTTTGTTGTCTTTGGTTTGATTCCAATCTTTGATCATTTGTTCAACTTTTGATTTTAAGTTAATAATTATTATATTAACGGCATTTGAATCAATAAATGTCTCCATTCTATACCAATATTCTCTTAAAATCTCTGATAACTTTGTCAAAAACGATATGATTTGTGGCCACGAATTAGTGTTTGAGATATTTTCCGAAATCCATGTAATTATATTTGTTTTAATCATTTTATTGACTTTTTTCTTTAACTTTAAATCGCGATATTTTCGATGATATTTTCTGATGGACTTTAAAATATATAACAACTCTTTACTTGATTCCAATGTTTGAAAGTTTTCTACCAATGAATTGATTTTATTTTCATAATTACGAAACAAATCTTCTACTAATGGTCTCTCAATTTCGCCAAGTTTTGCGATATATTGTTTTGAGAGCCAAGTCGTTGGATCTCTTTTCACAACTTCTTCATTTGCGAGAATCTTTGCTAAAATTGTGGAAAACACTGTGTTTTCTGTCGAGTATTTAATAATAAGTTCTAATAAAACACTTCTTCTTATAATGGAGTCCTCATAAGACGTCAAATTACTTTGTATTTTGTGTTGATTGATGAGCGAAAGGGCCGGCATATATAGAAAGTGCAGATATGTTAGTTCTTCAGTATTTGTCAAAAACTTTATGTTTTGGTCTCTTTCGATATGATTTAAATGAAATTTAAACGACAAACTATAGAGAAGAATATGGTATTTAAGGAACAACTGTTTCTGTCCATTGAGTGCCAAACGACCCCAAACTATGGTTAGAGATATGATTCCGTTAGAGATTGAGTCATTTGAAAGCATTGATTTGAGTGTCAAAGCAGTCGACGGAATATAATAAGTGAAAAAATTTTCATTTAAAGATCTCTTTCCGATTTTATGGCAAACACTTCCCAATAAATCATCGGCTTTTAAACATAGCACTTGTTTTGCATATTTTTTCAACTTTGAAGAAATCAAATCTTTACTCCATATCTCAATACAAAGCTCTTGTCTGTAAATTTTGCTCATCAACTCGTGAGGGCTGGTGTTAGAGTCGGGCACCTGTAGGTCTAGTTTGATATTCCACTTCGGATTTGTTGTATTCTTTCGATATATTGATGTGAATGTATTGGAAATGTCAACCAAACTATCGTTTTTGCAAAACGTTTTGAAATATAACTTGAAGTACGGATTGCTTTCACTGCTCTTCTCTTTCTTGTATAAGTCTTGCGCCGATTGAACAAAAATGTGGAGAATTTTTGGCGTTAATTCTTGAATCCCTTTCACTGATAAACTATCGATTTCGGGATCAGACAAACCAAACAACTCTTTAATGTATTTTTCAGTAAACTTTTTGTTTACATTAAAAGGAATTTCTGAATATTTGATTCCTAACGAACTTCTGTTGATTGCTATCAAACGTGACAAAAATTGTCGGTCTTTCTTATAATCATAATCATAGGATCCGTTAATCCAATTAATCAACTCTTTGGGATCAATGGTTTCATCGAAATTACTTATTTGAATGCTTTTATGCATTGATTTTATGTATCAATTTTGAATGTCTTTGAATTAAACATTTAGATTATAAATAGTTTTTGTAGTTTAAACTATAGATTTAATGCACGCGAACTAATTATTTTTATTAATCACAATCTTTTAACGGTCAATTATATGGTTTCTAAATTTTAATTTAAAACAATGATTTTAATTGTCAGTTTTTCAAACAATAAATTAAATGGTATTTTCTAAAGGCAGTCAAAAATATAGACTTTTGCATCAATCTTTTGCTTAGACAAAGCATCAATCCAATTAGCCCAGGCACACACTAGTGTGAATTTATTGTTAGAATTTAATAATTACCTAGGTAAATTTTAGTTCAGGTTTTATTAAACTTTCAGTTCAGTTTCATAAAACTTTATATCTTTCAGTCAAATATGTAAATTTGCTTAAAATTAATATTTATACTTAATATTTACAATAATCAATAATTTATAATAAATTATTATTTTACTTATTATAAATAAAGTACAATATTAGGCATTAATGCAAATAATTTGAAATAAATTAGTTCTATAACTAGAATTACATCTAGATTATATTCATTTATTGGAAAAAGTAATAAGATTTGTAAAAAACAATTTAAAAAATTGATTATTTGTTTAACTATAAAGTTGTAAATAATAGTTTAATTTAATTGTAATTTCACTATAAATTCAAATATAGTCGAAATGGAAAAAACGGATGACGAGAACGGCGTCTAAAATTGTTTTAATGTATAAAATGGTTACTAAAATCTATTTCTCAATCAAACCGTTTTCTTCAAAGCTATCGTTGATCTGAAAATTGCGTAAAAATGTGTTGAACTGAAAGGATATACAATTATATTATATAACAAACATAACAACAATCAGTGCTTTTCTACTCACAAGTTCTGAATTGTTGTAAAACATGTGATGTCTGCTCGAAACGAGTTCTCGTATTCTTTCAATTCCTGTCCAAACATTTCAAACCAATAAAATCATTGCATTTCATATTCTCATTAATTAAAAACCTTTTTCTCTGTTATCACTGTATTGTTGTTCCCATTCGTCTAAAAGTAGATTTGAGTACAAGAGTTGATCAAAATATTTGAGATAATGTCGAGATTTGGCTGAAGGAAGCAATCGTTTGAAACGACCGGCTCTTGAGAATTCATCCTCCGATTCCATTAATATACGAATGTCTTCATCAGTCAAATGAGTGACAATTTCAGCCGTTTCTGCAAATGAATTGTCGACGAAAGAGGAGACATACTTCTTGTGCTAGAAAACAACATTCATTATATAAATGACTAAATTATCAATCAATTCAATGATAATTACTTTAATTATTTCTTCGTCTGTGAGAACTGCTGAATAGTAATGACGATTAAAACAAATAAATTCGGCAAAAGTTTCCATTCGTTTAAAATTAGGAGGAATTTGATGTCCGATTAGATTAAACATATCTTTGATTAAAGGAATTTTGACGGCACTGTCCAGAGAGGAGTCCGACCGAAGACTCGGCGATATATTAACCTCTAAGAGCCACGGCTTGTATGCGTTGTCGAGCATTATATCAAAGCCCAAGAGTTCAAAACAAGAGTACCTACTCTTCACATTCTCCTTAACTAATTTGGAAACAAATGGTTCGCAACTTATTATTGTCTTAGTTATCATGTCTTCTATGGAACTAATGATGGCTTCGACGTCAACCTCTTTGCACGAGTGATTAAAATATCGCCACAAAGTTTTAAGCGTCCATTTGTTCCCCGTTTGGCCGTTGATGTCATGATTTGGGACATAATTTAAGTTATTTTTATTTACACTATAATTAGTTAAATGCATGAATTGATTGTCTCTATTGTTTTGGATGTCATCCGAGTATTTATGCGAAGCAAACCTCACGAGTCCGTCGTCATAGATATAGACTCTCAATGGATCTATAGATGTGATCAACACATACACCCGAAGATCAAATTTGGTTTCATTATAGAGTAGACACGGATTAGTTATATACTTCTGAACCACGTATTGTGACTTAAGATTGTGTTTGAGTTTAGTTCTCGATGTCTTTGGTATATCACTGAACGTATTGATGATTTTAATGCCCTGTCCTCTGGCAGAGGCCGGAGGCTTCAGTATAAACACCAGTTCTTCGCCAGAATTAATCCAATACTTTTTGAGTTGTGTCCAGTCGTGGGGTAAGACAAACGTCGGCGGATGGAAGTGACCGAACACTTCAAAGCCGTGTTTGGCAGACATTGAGCGCAAGTTTTGCCACAATTTGTCTTTGCGGCCGAAATGAAAACTTCCGGGAAAATGGTTTACTTTCTGGTAGTCTTTGATTGTCTTGAAGTCAACGCTCTTCAAGTGTTTACACCAAATGGCGCTCCAATTCTTGTAAACCTTCTGATTCTTGTCTTCAAATACAAGACAACAGACAAGACATTCATTTGATGGCAAAGAAAATAGAGTCTAATAGACGTACCTCTTAAGAGACGGAAACCAGATTTGGTGACCACTGTCTTCATTGTGTTGGCAGTGATTGAAGACAATTTCCATTTCAGATACGGTTTGAGTTTGTTTGGCACCGAAGACACTGAAGACAATGCAAAATACTTTATAATTACAAACCATTCAATCAATTGATAATCAAATCAAATACTGGACTCGTCTTCAGTGGTAAAGTAAACGGTGGGCCAAACCATAGGGAAGAGCGACGGCTGAAGAACCAATGGATCCCCGTTTGAGTCCATGAGTCGCGGGAACTCATAGTTAATGTCTTTGTTATAGAAATTGAGTGAATAATTGATCACTTGTTTCATTAAATTGACATAATTTTCATCAATTATTTCATTTTCATTGTAATTATCGTTCATTTTATTTATAATTTTCCCGAAATTAATGATTAGTTTAGAAATTATAGTAAAAATAAATTAATTAAAAATTAAATAAATAGTAAATAAAAATAATTTCAATAATAAATATAACAATGAATTGAAATGTTTATGAATTGAGACAAAGTCTCAAACAATGAGCGAATGAATGCAACCAATGATGGCATGCATTCAATCCATCCATTCATCCAATCATTGCATTCAAACATTTCTCATACTTTTAAATGCAAACTAATTTTAAATGTATTTCTTATCAAATCAATAGATTTTGTTTTATTTAAACACAGATTAAATATAAATCTAGTTTTAATTACACACAAACTTTATCTTATAGTTAATAATTGGAAATATTGGTATTAATAAAATTGTTGCAATTTAAATATAAACTTTAAAAAGTTATACATGTTAAATTAATTAAATAAATTAGTCAACTTTTAAAACATTATAACAATTAACAATTGGAAGAATATATTAATTTTTTCAATTCATTGTTAATTTTTTAAAAATTTAAAACATTTTAAAAGTGATTCCTTTGGAAACTAAAAGCACACAATTTTGCTAAAATGTGGCGAAGAATCAAAAGAAACGTGAAGAATGTCTGCCAAAAGATGATCAATATATCCATAAAGAAAAGAAAAGAAGAATTGGATGACAGCATCGATGAGGAGGGAGCAGAAAATGAGCCACAAATTGAGTTCAAATACTCGGCTAATGATATGGAAATACAAGTTGACCGCAATTATGTTTCCAAGAGTCTCATTGACGCCATTCTTAGCAATTGTGGCGAACAAACACTCCTCAAAGTTTGCAAACAGAAAGAAGTGATTCAAATGGAGACCATTTTCACTAAAGAGATCTATAAGCAAATGGAAGTGTTGTGGACCGGAGTGTATAGCGAAGTACTAGGAGTTAAGGATACGAACGGAGATTATGTAATCTTCAAGATATCTCTCATCGATCGTAAGAACAAAGAGGGAGTCGTTATGCAAAACATGTCTCAAATAGCGTCGGATGTCATCAATTCGAGACGATTGAGTGACTTGAAGAGCATTCCCATCCAATTGGCGTTCAATTATTGCCATAACTTTGCAAACATAACAAATAGCTATTATGTTTGGAGCAATCGATTGGTATTCAATAAATCAGAGATCAAACAGAAAAACGACAAAAACATGAAATATAAATATTTTATTTCTCAACAAACGTTTGGCGGAAAAGAGTTGGAATCGGTTTACGGTCTTTCGCCGACCAAAGGCCTGAGTCTGACCTATCAATTGATCGCATCGATAGCTGTGGCCGAAGAGGCGATGGAGTTTGAGCACAGAGACCTTCACTTGTCTAATATACTCGTTAGACAAACACAACGAGAATTCGCTGAGTATGTCATCAATGGTCACAAATTTTATGTTGAACTAAATGGCATTCAATTGGTTATAATTGACACAACATTTGCCAGAACTCGACTCAACGTTTCGGTCAACAGTGAAGAACAGATCTCGAAATGCGTTTACAATGACTTATCGTGTCTTAATTTAGACGACTATAAGAACAGTGAACTGAAGAAAGTTTATTTGAGACAACAGACAATCACAGGCAACAAATGGCACGAGTTTTGGCCNGCGGGAACTCATAGTTAATGTCTTTGTTATAGAAATTGAGTGAATAATTGATCACTTGTTTCATTAAATTGACATAATTTTCATCAATTATTTCATTTTCATTGTAATTATCGTTCATTTTATTTATAATTTTCCCGAAATTAATGATTAGTTTAGAAATTATAGTAAAAATAAATTAATTAAAAATTAAATAAATAGTAAATAAAAATAATTTCAATAATAAATATAACAATGAATTGAAATGTTTATGAATTGAGACAAAGTCTCAAACAATGAGCGAATGAATGCAACCAATGATGGCATGCATTCAATCCATCCATTCATCCAATCATTGCATTCAAACATTTCTCATACTTTTAAATGCAAACTAATTTTAAATGTATTTCTTATCAAATCAATAGATTTTGTTTTATTTAAACACAGATTAAATATAAATCTAGTTTTAATTACACACAAACTTTATCTTATAGTTAATAATTGGAAATATTGGTATTAATAAAATTGTTGCAATTTAAATATAAACTTTAAAAAGTTATACATGTTAAATTAATTAAATAAATTAGTCAACTTTTAAAACATTATAACAATTAACAATTGGAAGAATATATTAATTTTTTCAATTCATTGTTAATTTTTTAAAAATTTAAAACATTTTAAAAGTGATTCCTTTGGAAACTAAAAGCACACAATTTTGCTAAAATGTGGCGAAGAATCAAAAGAAACGTGAAGAATGTCTGCCAAAAGATGATCAATATATCCATAAAGAAAAGAAAAGAAGAATTGGATGACAGCATCGATGAGGAGGGAGCAGAAAATGAGCCACAAATTGAGTTCAAATACTCGGCTAATGATATGGAAATACAAGTTGACCGCAATTATGTTTCCAAGAGTCTCATTGACGCCATTCTTAGCAATTGTGGCGAACAAACACTCCTCAAAGTTTGCAAACAGAAAGAAGTGATTCAAATGGAGACCATTTTCACTAAAGAGATCTATAAGCAAATGGAAGTGTTGTGGACCGGAGTGTATAGCGAAGTACTAGGAGTTAAGGATACGAACGGAGATTATGTAATCTTCAAGATATCTCTCATCGATCGTAAGAACAAAGAGGGAGTCGTTATGCAAAACATGTCTCAAATAGCGTCGGATGTCATCAATTCGAGACGATTGAGTGACTTGAAGAGCATTCCCATCCAATTGGCGTTCAATTATTGCCATAACTTTGCAAACATAACAAATAGCTATTATGTTTGGAGCAATCGATTGGTATTCAATAAATCAGAGATCAAACAGAAAAACGACAAAAACATGAAATATAAATATTTTATTTCTCAACAAACGTTTGGCGGAAAAGAGTTGGAATCGGTTTACGGTCTTTCGCCGACCAAAGGCCTGAGTCTGACCTATCAATTGATCGCATCGATAGCTGTGGCCGAAGAGGCGATGGAGTTTGAGCACAGAGACCTTCACTTGTCTAATATACTCGTTAGACAAACACAACGAGAATTCGCTGAGTATGTCATCAATGGTCACAAATTTTATGTTGAACTAAATGGCATTCAATTGGTTATAATTGACACAACATTTGCCAGAACTCGACTCAACGTTTCGGTCAACAGTGAAGAACAGATCTCGAAATGCGTTTACAATGACTTATCGTGTCTTAATTTAGACGACTATAAGAACAGTGAACTGAAGAAAGTTTATTTGAGACAACAGACAATCACAGGCAACAAATGGCACGAGTTTTGGCCCAAAACTAACATAATTTGGTTGAGTTATTGCGTTCACAAGATCTGCCAGAAAGTGGACAAATGGTGCAAAACTCATAACAACGCCAATTATGTCAAACAGTGGGATCGACTCAAGCATATCGACCACAATATCGCAGACCATAATTCGGTCAAAAGTTTGGCTCAATTCTGTGAATTGATTCCCCAATGAATCCAATTATGAGAACATTTAGTGACAAACAAAGCAAAAGAAAGTTATTATTTCGCTTAAACTATAGAAATAAAAGCCAAGTGTCTATCGATTATGTGCTGATAATCACAATTAAATGAATAGTTAATGCAATTCAATAAATCAATTAATTCAATACAAATTCATTCACACAATAACCGAGTGATTGAGTGATGAAACCTTTGCAAAGTTTTTTCAAAAGTAAAGTTTTAATTCTTGACGTATTGTCTGAATGAATGGCAAAAAATGAATTCATTTGTAAACAAAAATGTTTTTCATTTAACCGTAAATTGAATGCAATTTTAGTAACAATTGATTGATTTGTCGGACAATTAATTGCTTCGGAAGTGCTTTGAGATGTCGTTCACACGTCTGTTGTGTTCAACGAAACTCATAAATGGCTTGAATTGCGGACTCAATGGGAGATCAGTGTTGATGAGAGCGGAACCGTTGGTGAAGACATCGCGGGCGACACTGATAGGCGTGGATCAGATGGATCCGGAAGTGATGGCCAATAAGCCGAAGCCGTGGCCCTATAAGACTAAACGGCATTATATGTATTGGCATTACATCTTAGACCTGGACGTGACGGCCGCCCGAATGGACTGCAACTCCAAGATTGTGGTCATCGAAGGCAATAAGGCGTCGGGAAAGGAAGTGGTGGCCAAAGAGTTGGCCAAACACTTTGGGATGCATTATATGCCAGAACCAGATCTCGAGGACATGTATATCAATCACAATGGCTTTGACTACCGATCGCTCAACAAATATCTCAGTCCTATTGTTCAGGCGGTGGACGAGAAGATGTATTACGAAGACCCGCACCATAAGGGCGTCCATTGGATGAAAATGTTCTTCTATAGGAAGCGCTTCGAGCAATACATCGAAGCGTTGGCCCATTTCTACAACACTGGACAGGGAGTCATCTTAGAGAGAAGTCCTTACAGCGACTTTGTCTTCACTGAAGCCATGAATAAATGCGGATATTTTACCGATAATGGTATGTATTGTCAATGTATTTGTGTTTGTCTTTATTGATTGTATTTTCAATTATGTTATATCTTATATGTGAAGCGACGGACTATTACTATCGCGTCCGTCACAGGACTATATTTAAGCTCCAAAGACCTCATCTCGTCATCTATTTGGACGTCAGTCCCGAAGAGTGTCTCCGAAGAATCAAAGAGAGAAATATTGTAAACCATTTTTTGCTTAATATTTATTTGGATCACTAATGAGTTGATGTCTGTCTCTCTTTAAGCCACACGAAGTGAACTCAAAAGTGTTGACAAAAGAGTATTTGCAAATAATCGGCGATCAATACAAGAAGAGGTTTTTGCCGGAGATCGCGAAGCACTCGGAAGTAATGATTTACGACTGGAACCAATTGGGAGACATGGAGGACATGATCGACGACATCGAGAAAGTGAATTTAGAGGACTGGGATCCGCACTTCGAGAAGTTTGAGGACTGGAACCTATGGGAAGAGGACTTATGGGAAATACAACGGCACAGGTTTACCAATAAAAAGGACGAATTGGTGGCTAATATATCTACGGTTCCCGTCTATGATGTTGACGACCTCTGCATCGATCAGGAAAGTGCCGAACATCGCGATAAAATCTACGAAGCGATGGTTTGACAGTTTATATTATTTTAATAGTTTTGTTTGCTATATATTTATACATGTATTTCTCGTGTATCCAAAAGGTGCCCAACTATGAGATCCTTCCGAGTTATGATCCGGCGAACACATCGCTAATGACTCGACTCTTCAGATGGAAACTTCCTTATAGGGAATGGTCTGAGTTTAATCTTAGACACCCTTTCTATTGATTTGCAACTTAGAGTTATTCCGCGTTTGGTTTAGTTTCAAAATCGATAATTTAATGTAAAAATTGATAATTTAGTTGTTTATGAATTTAACGAATAAATATTGTTAACTATAAAACGGTATTGAAATTTCTTGAAACAATTTATAGGTTAAAAAATGAAACAATTTATTTACACAATAAAAAGAAATTAATTGAATTATAGTATTTAAAAGTTGGACAATAATATGAACAACTTTGGTGTACATCAATGCTACGGTTTATGTTTATTGATATTCAATATAAAATTTTTGATATCTTGAACAGTATTTCGTTCATTAGGATTATCTTCCACTTCATTGCTCTCCCGTTTTCTTACAGTTCTTTCATTAGGGCTTATATACGATGAGTTAAAAGTGAACACTCGGTGTCCATTATTTGATCCACAGCTGACATTAAACCAATAGTCACACGATTTGATCTCAACATTAAATAGTGTTCCGTTCGGACAAATGAATTTCTGGTGATAATTGTTTCGCTCGCAATGATGGTAAACCTGTTTTGCACACAATGTGAACACATTGAATGTGTTAATGATTGCTAATTATATTCATGCAATAAAACTACAATACCTGACAACCAAAGTGTTGATCAGCAAAAAATCCCGGTTCACTACACGTGAAGTTACTCAACGCCGAAGAACTATGCGTTGGATAATCATTGACAGGATTACCAGTCAATGGAATTTCTTTAAATTCTTGAGTTTTGTTGTATTGATTTGAAAAGTCATCAGAAATTTCTTCCAATGAATTCTTAAGCAATGATTTGTTTAATGTTTGCTTTTGTTTACCGTTTATAAAAGTATTCTTTGTTTTATTAGACATAAATCTAATGGGATTTAGTGATGGCAACCAATCCTTGTTGTTTGCTCTCATTTTCAGTGACCAGTCTTTAATGTCGGCTACTTTTAACTCAATTGAGGGTTTTGTGATGCTTTTGATATCATTATTCACGCCATTAAATATTTTTCTATAATCAATATTTTGTTCATTTCTATCCAAATCGACCAAAAATTCTCTCTTGAGATCAGTTTTAATGATAATCGGTGGTACAGTTGTCGTCGAGACGTATGGATTATAAGATTGGGTACTATAGTGGAGGAATGGCACTCTTTGCATGTGATTCGTTCGTATTTTATCTTTATTTTCAGTCGTTGTGGTTTTAATATTGTTTAAGATTTTTGGCGATTCAATTGGTTTCCAACCCTCTCTTAAACTGTGATAATTAGTAAAATGGTTAACATTTTTATCAATTGGTTCAACAGTGTTATCCCTAAACGATGCCATTTTAGCCCTCAATGGCCTAAACTCGTGGACCATTTCATTGTAATTTTGAGTCGTTTGCTGATTGTAACCGATATTAGGCTTATCTTCTGATTCCTTCATTTCATTGGTTAATATATTTTTAATAAATCTTTCTTCGGATGAAAAGGGAATAATGTCTTCGAATTCATTAGAATTCATTTCAGTTGACGTTTTGGGAGGAAATATATTTTGTGCAAATGTGGGAGAAATGGCATAATTAGGTATCAATGGGTAATCCGATTGGAGTTCGTACGAGAAATCATGTGGTTTTCTATTGAATTGATGATTATTATAGTTCGCGATTTCGTCGATCACTGTATGTGATTGTGATTGCAATGGATTTGCATTTAAAGCATTGATATCATTGCTATTCTTGTTGTTCCAAACGAACTGAAGATTAACCGCTGGAAGAAGTCTACATAAAAACGATTGACTCAAACCATTCATTTGCATCGCCTGTCGGCACAGGTCTGAGGGCCGAGTGTTGTGTGTGTTCGGCAGCTAATGGCAAAATGACAATGTTTTACATTTTATACAACCAATGTATATCTATTTTGCATGCAATGAGTTGCAAAGCTTATTTAGTCCTGGATTATCACAGATGCACATACAGGAAACTTTAAGTATTAACTAAATAGTTACTATATAGTATATTTATAATTAATAAAATAATAAACTAATCACGGCTATTTAATAACACATAATTAATAATTATAAATGATATCCAACGGACTATTAACAATGTTAATTTAACATACTTAACATGTACTGTACATAAGTTTTAAAATACTCACTGCATATGAATTCCTAATGAATGATAAATGGACTATCAGTTCTGTAATCAATTAAAGTTTTAATTAAGTATAATTATATATTTTAGAATTATAATTATAGCTATTTATATTAAACCATAAATATAATTTAGTATGATAGAATTTAACTAATGTAAAATATTAATACATTAAACTAATTTATAAAAAAGTATTAAAAATTTTATTTGCAAATTATTGAAATATTTATACAAAAATGTTATATTATGAATTAAAACTTGTAAATTAGTGTTTAAAAGTTATTCATTGTTAATAATGATGTTTTTGTGTTATAACTCAATGCAGAATATGATGTAAATATGGTTAAAACCAAATGAAAAAGAGTACTGAAGTTACTATTTATGGAATTGAGTTTAGTTTTGCAAATCATTTATCAGACAAATTGCTGTTAACTATAGGATAGCAAATAATTTAGTGAATTATTTGAAATGCCGTAACATTTGATAAGACACTAAACAACTAGTGTTCGTGTTTTGCAAATAGAGATAACATTGACAATGAATGGCTATGTTTTTCAATGAATGACCCATTTTTAGGGCTAATTTAGCCAAAAATTAATGAGTGTTTGAAAGTAGTATTTTTGGTCATTTCAACGCATAGTAAATATATTTAAATTTAATTCATAACCCTTTTTGATGTAATTACAGGAAAATTAATGTTGACTTTCATAAGGCTATCGCTTCACTTGCAATTCAAATGTTATATAATCGCACTTTTGAAGTGTTGATAGTTTTTCCAGGAGGTAACTAAACCAATAATCTCATCAACAATAGTGACAATTAAATATCCTATTTATAATTATATATTATTTATTAAATAAATGTAAATTTTTGTTTTAAATCATTAAATATATAAATAAAAGGCAAATAAAACAATATAATATATCTTAGAAAACATGAATATATAATTTTATATAACTTTACTTTTAATCTGTGGTCTATATTTTAAAAGATGGTATCATAAGAAACATTATAACTTGTACAACAATTTTTATACAATATTACTATTATTATTATTATTATTATTGTATATCATTTGTAAATCATTTTTGCAAAACAATAAGAAGTAAAACACCTGTCATTTACTGTCGACTAATTAGTGATGTCTTATCAATTATGCCATCAATTAAATAATTATGAATTACTTATTAGTAAATTAATAGACAGTAATTGACAACTAATTGAATTTTGGTTTTTGTGAATAAAACAAAGAATTCAATACCAAAGTAATGGTTGAATGAATAAATGTAATTAAATTATTCTAAAAATTATCAATAAATTGTTAATAAAAATAAAATTAAAAATCTTATAATAACAACTAGCCCAAATATTTTACATTTGAATCCATCATGTTTTAAGATAATTCATCTCTATTATAATTGAAGCATGTAAATACTGTGAATACTGTAGTGAGGCTTCATTAAAGAGATCCCTGAACTTTAAGCATCCTTTTTAGAGTAGTTTCGTTTTAATGATTTGTTTCGGAAAATGTCTTTAAATACAATCTCATTTAATTTACATAAAAACCATTTAAATACGAGAATTAAATTTATTTAAATGAATTGAAATTTTATGAGAAAGTGTTTAATTTA